TTTGAATTGAACTTATGAAATTATTTTTAGATCCGTATCTAGCTCTAAATTTTTCAATGCTTCAACATAATCATTTCTTTGACATAAATTAAGATATATTGAATAACACGTTGTCGTAAATTTATGCGAGAAAAATGTTTGCCACTTCTTTCTTTCCCTCTTTCCCTCATTCATTCACAGGTTGCTGACATTACGCCACAAATGCAACCGTCGCGGTTCGATGCGTGCAAATAATTATACGTCAGTCATTACACCGACATTGGAATACCAGTAGGGATCTACCGTTCCATTGTGATCTTTATCAATTACAGAAAGAAACTTGTCGATTCCGTAATTGAAAGCGACATGTATGATGCGTGAAAGATTTCACGTGCCGTTAAGATTGAATGAAATCATACATGTTCATGAATGTTACTTTCTTGAATCTATCACATGCATTACAGCACAAAATATCACGTCAGCGAAAGCAGACCCGCGTGTTAACGCGCGGAAAAACAAGATTAAGAGAACATCGTTTGTGTATACATCTATTGTAAGAATCGTAGTATCGCTCGCGTGCATCTAAGAATTCTTTTCTCTCGAGAGAATCAGTGAAAAAAAAAAAAATCAATCCGTAGTCCGTGCAAGATGCTTAGCGTTTCGGATTATCTTTGTTACCTCGTCTCCTTCGCCTAAGGTGCCCCATGAACATTTCGCTCTGCTGGCTGGACTTTGCTCCGCACAGCTCTGTACAAACAGTCTTCTAACTCTCTCAGCAGTCTTGTTACCGCCTTCGAATTTCAGCCCAAAACCCAAACGCTCTCCGGGCAATCTGAAAACCTCGACTTCTTCTTCGAGATGCCCGTCCATACCGTTCGACGAACTCTTGCTCGTCGCCGACGATTCCTCATCGTCTTTCTTCCTATTGCCGATCGATAGAACGGTCACAAAGCTTTCCGACATCGGCTGACTGCCGACGCTGACCACCGTCACGAAATCCTCCGTTGTGCCCTTGGCGACGTCCATTTTTTCACTTGACAATGGCTTAATTCATGGCAAGCTCGCTGATCTTTACGCTCCACCGGAATGCTGGCCACTCCCTGAAAATAAATCAAATCATTGTCGACAATTCTGTGACATGGCGTAATTGAGAGACAGACAGGTTCTTATCGGGGCGAAACCCGTTTGATTTTAACTCGATTTTAACTCGAAGAATTATTTACGATCCATCGGGCGTGGATGTAAAAATCGACAAAACGATCGATACAATCGACTGCATTATTTCTCGGATTATGACAAAGCCGGAAACTTGAACACTTGCCTGAGAAAATTTCTAACGTTTCTCGTTGTCGCCAGATGGTTATTTTCTAATCGTATCCATTTACCGGAATCAATCAGCAAATAGATACCGGCAGACGAATCGTGTCACATATATATAGTACCGAGGATCGCGGACGATCATTAAGCGACCGCATACCGGCTTAGTCGCGTGACCAACTTAATACGGAAGTCTCATGTTCTCCTCGTACCTGCTCGTTTTACTGATTACGCTATTACACATAGATAGCGGCGGGACAAATTATAAACAAACAAGGCACGTGTCGATATAAATTACGTTCCGACGCGAGACATTTGTATACCACGACGAAGCGCTAACTGTAACTTGTATTCTGTTATATTTCAATTGAAATTTCATTCGTCACGATTGACCTCCGCTCAAGTGGAATTCCATTTCGCCGTTCCTCGGCGCGCGAGTGTCCCGAAAATTGTATTTGCATCGAGATTATGCGATTGGCAACGGCCATTCGTGTGTATCTGCCTATTTACTCCTCGTAAAATTTCATCAATCGCGTTCAATCGCGTCGTAAAAGTTTCACGTCACTTCCAGTATCGAAGGCGTGAATTCTTAGAAATCGCGAAAGGCTTTCGATCGGACATTTTTTTATCGCTCGCTCTCAACGTAGATAGTGCTAGATATCTCCTAAGCGTCGGCAAATTACAAAGATAAATTTCCCACGTCGCGAACTTCTCGCGATGTGGCTCTCCGGTTGTCATAAACATTCTCGCGAGCCATGGAGACTCCTCAGGTATTCCGACTAATAAATCTTCCCTCTTATTTTTCTCTCGCGGGCAGGTGAACAACGAGCACCGCCTCCGTCCGTTTTCACCCATCAGCATCCCGATAATTTCACGATATGTATACCGTCCGTTGCTGTGAAAGTATGTCCGCTTCCACTCGAAGGCATCGTGCACAGCCCCCTCCCCCCGTCGCCAATATCACCTCTGATCTCTGCAGAATGTGAGAAGTAGAAAGTAGATTGACCTGGGGTCACTGCCGAGCGATCAGCTGATCGTGAAGGTTTCGATGACGATTGTCAAATGTATTCCAATTCTCTCCTCTTTACATATCCCGATCTCTCATTAACGAGGATCTTGGAGGATCTTATTACGAACACTGTTATTCCATACATGCAATACATTTGATCAGTGATAAACAATTATTTTTCTCCGATATTCGCACTATTTAATTATTACGCAATTATAACGCTGATAGCGTTCTGCTGTTAAAGAAAATAATACAATCAGCATCGCGATGTAATCGAGCGATATATTTAACAATGTATCGCGTGGATATTGAACAACTAATTATCCATTACTGGCAAAGAGTACTGTATATGAAGTAACTGTATTTATAATGAAATTCAAGATTCTCATGAATTGATTTAATGAGCGAAGAATTTTCTACTGGAGTGAACGAACGAACTAATCGGTAATGATTTTCTGATGTCGCGTGCAGCTCTAGAATTAATTTTCCTGTCGGAAACGTGAGTTGATTTACTTTTGTGAAATATTCGTTCTTCGATCTCGCACCTGTAACGCATGTAGAGATGTCGGAGGAAACCACTGCGTGCATCTCGGCATATGTACATTTCGCATCTTTCGTCGATCATTATACACCGTGTTACACGGTTAATTTCTCATTATACCACGTGTGTCAAACAAGATGCGTATTTGCACGACGTTTTTACTTCACGTCAGTGAGATGGCGACCGGTGTCGAAAATCGCAGGATAGATGGAGCATAAAAATCTCTCATCGTGGGCAGAGTATAGGAAGATCCACGGAAACCGTACAAGTGCGTGTAACGGAATTCGTAGCCGCAGGCCGATCACCACATTCTCGATATGCTGTGTTGGTTCTCGAGCGAGCGTGGGCATCGGGACCTCGTGAAAATATTGCGAAGCTGAATACTGCGATTCCCAAACATACATATATATTCGACGACGAATCGCTGTTACGTCCAATTTAATCCTTTGCTCGAGTCTGTACTTGACAGCGTGTTCCATGATATCGTTCCTTTTAGAGATTACATCGATAATCTCGGAGAGTTTACGGAGGTAAAGGCGAAATGAGTCGCACTTTCTTCTTTTAATTAATACATTCCATTCGTGTACGCGTGGGAAAGGGTTTGCATGTAACTGTAACCGTTACCACCCGAGCCTCGTATGGTGAATCGAATGCACGTAAAACCAGCTGCGGCAGACGAGATTAATGTTGTACGAATTCGAACCGCTCGCGTGCAATGTCGACGCGCGGCCGTGCTAACGCCGAACGAATAATTGAAGTAATTAGGCGCGAGGAAAGCACGAAGTCGAATGTTCTAATGGACACAAATCGTATATCTGTGAAGCCGCTGGAATTCATTTGGATGGCCATTGAATGTTGTGCCGCAACTTGCGTTACGCGCGGAAATACCTGCGCTCGGCTAAACGAGCCTTTGGAATTCCGCATTTTCCCAGCCGCGGTCCGCCGCGTTACGCAACAACTGGCGCTCGCCGATACGCTTCATGGATTTTGACAACCGTGTTCCATTCATTATTTAAATCTCG